CAAATTTAAGAAAATTTGGCAGCCATACTGGATGTGACATATTGAATTTTGGAAATCTAACTTCAGATTCGTAATCGGCGACCAAAAAAACCCCTTAAGTAATAACTTTTAAGCGAATCCATTACATTTTTAAAAATATGTTCGCCATATTGGATCCGCCATTTTGAATTTTCAAAAACTGCCACTCGGCATTTAAAAGTATTCCTTTTTATCTAACTTTTACGCTTATAGCTGGTAATTGAAACGCAGACCATTTTTGGAGAGAAGGTTGGTCACGTTGACAAAGAATGCCTCATATATATATATATATATATAGGTGATTAAATTTAAAATGTCATTTTTGATCCTATTAGCTTTGATTTTTCGATGTTTGATTTTGAACTTAACGATACTCTATTTTGGTTGACTAGAATATATGATGGACAAAAATAATAGTGGTCGAGCAGGTGGAAGCAAATTTTAATTTTCACCAGGTGAAAAACGATAGGCGGAAATGATAAGAAATTTTCTGTTTTCGTTTATTCTTTTCTCAAATAAATTCTTACAACTTTAAAAAGTTAAAATATTTCAAATTACAATAATGAATGTTTCAACATGACTTAAAAAATATTTGTAATGAGTTCTGCCACAAATTAATATACTTTTGAAGACCAAAAAGACATATGAACATTGAGGGACACCACTGACATTTTTGAAAGATTTCACTGATATTTTTTTTTGAATAGTGAGAATAAAATCAGCCTATAAATTACAATCCAGTATTATATCTTCATTAACTGCATATATAAGGAGTAAATTTAACACAAATTTATTAAAAATAAAATAATAAGCTGCAAGAAACAGAATTTTGAGGGGACACCACTGACATTTTGCTTCATTTCTCAATTTCGAAAAAGAAAGACTTTATTTTTAAGTTAAAGTCGGTGCGGTTTTTAAAGTACGTGTAATACCTGAAAACGAGATACAATAATATTTAAAAAATATTAATATTATGAACAATTTTTTGATGGGGACACCACTGACATGGTGTGCTCGACAAAGTGTTACTTGCTTTCTGCCACTAACCGTACAAGTTATAGATGTGATAGAATGTTGTAATGTTTTTTCTTTAAGAAGCTATACATATCACCAATACTTTTAACGCTTAATAAGGCAATTATCTGCACTAGGTTATTTAAATATCAGGCATGATATTCAAAATTTGCGATAATTACTAAAAAATATGAAACTTACGGACAGGCGATTTTGATTTTTTTCTAGCTCTGGATCAAAATTATTCTGCTAGCACAATTACTATATAAAAATATAGACTCTTAGCTGTACAAAATAATTTTTCTGGTACTAAAAATGTGAGAATCAACAATTTTTATTATTAGGAAAAATTCTGATTTCTTAAGTGCGGACAGGGGACACCACTGACATTTTGCTTCTAATTCTTCTGCCACATTTTTTCAGAGAATTTCTAGCGACTAAGAATTATTAATTTAAGTAGAAGGAGTCATTAAGAAAATTAATTGACTTCAAAAACTTTTATATATGAACTAGTATTCCAGATTTTTGGGCAGGACATGAAAATGACATTTTAAATTTAATCACCCATATATAACGCTTTTTAATAATCTTAGGCTTATTTTAAAGGTCATTTTCTACGGAATAAGAATTACTTATAGCCATTAACCTGTAATTTTTTTTTGGAATAAGCATGACGTCAAAATTGGACAAAAAAATTGGAAAAATTTGAAATAAATTTTTTGTACTAAAGACTATTCTAGAACATATATAAAACATAATATGGTGTAGATTTTTCAAGAAAATTTAATAAAAAAATATTTTTGAACTTCAAAAATTATTTTTCTTTTAATAATATTCTTTCAAATTTTTTGAATTTTTTTGTCCAACTTTGACGTCATGCTTATTCCAAGTAAAAAATTACAGGTTAATGACTATAATAAGTAATTCTTATTCCGCAGAAAATGACCTTTAAAATAAGCCTAAGATTATTAAAAAGCGTTCATTATTTTAGAAGTTATTCAAATTTTTGTAAAACATTGAAAATGACGATTTTTAAGAATATCTTCTACAAATTTTGGCCAAACGACTTCTGTGAGATCTTATTCTTTTCAAAATTTTATCTTCTTTCAAAATATAAACCAAAAAAAATTTTAGTTTTCATGAATTTTATGTTAAAAATTTTTTTTTATTCCTTTAAAAATGGGTGGACTGACAATTTCGGACGGTACTGTATATTTTAATTTTTTTATTTTATTACTATTTATCACTATTTATCACCAAATTTATTTTGATTATCATCAATAATTTTTACCTGTTACAACTATAAATTTTTCTATGTTAGCGAAATTTTTAATTGTTTCTATTAATACTTTTGCTATTTTACAGAAATTTTTTGCTGCTCCAAGTGAAAATTTTATTCCGTAATTTTATAATTTAAAATTGAATAGGTATAAATTAATCTAAATCGAAAATTAATATTTGTTTTGACAAATATTATTGACGATTAATAAAAAAAATACGAGAATTTGTTATAAATTGAATTTATTGAAAATGTCTCGCAATGAATTTTGAGTTCTTTTTTATACCAATTCAGAAATTTGTCATTTTTTTTTACTAAAAAGATTGGAAATTTGCATATAAACTTTCTATTAAATTAAAACTTTTAAATCTAAAACACTAATTGAATTTGAATCCACTTAATATTAGTGCACATATATAAAATCATTGAGTAGAAAAAGAAATTAATTTGAAAATATTAAAATTCTTTATCAATTAAAGTGTCTATTTCCTCTAATTAAAATGATATAGTTAATTAAAATGCACACTTTTCATTGGTCAAATTTCTGCTACATTAAACATTCAATGAAACGAATTTACATACAAGTAAAATGATTATCCCGTTTATTATATATATAAAGAGAGAGACACACACAGTTTGCAGATTAAGTCTTTTTTAACTATAAAGTTTGTCCGCATTTTCTTATTCCAGAAGTTTGTATAAAATTTAGAAATAAATAGAAATTAATGGACCAGAAATTGGAGTAAGGAGGGGTGGGGGTATTTTGTCTGGTAAATTAGGCTTCATACTTATGTAATTTTATGTATGTGTAGAATTAAAATGTTTTCTCTAAATTATAAATTAGTAAAAATGTTTACTAATTTGAATCAGTGACTGATTTTTTGCTACTGAATTAGTACTAATAAATTGGTAGAAATTACTATTAATTACTTAATTTTACTAATAATTTGTAAAAATTAATTTATTAGTAATTTGAAATTGAAATAAAATTTTTTATAAACATTTTTTGCTTGTGAATTAGTAAATTTTATAATAAATTAATATAAATTACTATTTATTAGTAAATTTTAATGTAACTATTAAATTTCAAATTTTATATCAATAAATTAGTAGAAATTAGTATTTATTAGTGAAATTTACTAATTTTTATAGTTTTATAATTTATTGATACTATTTGTTAGTAAATTTTACTAATAAATTAGTAGAAATTAGTACATATTAATAACATTTACTAATTAAATTAGTATGTCTTAAATAAATAAAAGTAAATTTTAATACTTAATTAGTAGAATTTAGTATTTATAAGTAAAATTTACTAATAAATAGTAATAATAAATAATAAAACATATAAAATTAGTAAATTTTGCTAATGATTTATCGTTTATTAGCAAAGTTTACTAATTTAACAAAAGCTTATTCAAATTAGTTACAATTATTACTAATTCAAATATATGGAGAGTTAGTAAATTTCTTTTAATTTTTGCTTTTGAATTAGTAAATATTGCTAATAAATAATCATTTTTACTAATTCATTAGCAACATTTACTAATTCAAAAGGAAGAAATCAGTCACTAATTCCAATATCAAGTGTAGATTCAATTATTATTAATTCAATGAAAACAAATTTAATTATTACCAATGAAATTTGAATTAATTTGAAATAGTCTTGAATTATTTTCAAATAAAAATTTAGTGCTAAATTTCTGGTCAAATAAAAATTGTCCTAAATCAATAAAAGAAAACTTGAGATAAACTGCCAGAGTTGAATTAAAATTTTCCAGAATGTAAAAAATGGTTGATCGGAGTAGTCTTTAAAATTTCGTAACATCAACATTTTATTTTCATTTCATTCCCGTCGTGATTTTCTTTTAGTTTTTTAGTTACGTTTTTTGTTTGTATTTTTAGTTTAAGTAGATTAAATTATTATTAATTAAATTAATTACTTTACCATGATTGGTTGAATTGGAAATTTAGGTTTTATTAACGAGACTGTTGAGAAAATTAAAACAAATTTGATTATTATCGAATAAACTTGAATTATCTATGGTTGATATGGTTGATCGGAGTAGTCTTTAAAATTTCGTAACATTAACATTTTATTTTCATTTTGTTTCCGTCAGAATTTTCTTTTAGTTTTTCAGTTACGTTTTTTGTTTTGTATTTTTTGTTTAGTTGCATTTTCTAGTCTGGTTTTTTGCATTATAAAATTTGTTTAGTTTGAATATTTTGGATTGATTTTGTTGCATTTAAGAATTTTTTTAGTTACATTTTTTGCTTGATTTTTTGGATTACTTTTTGCTCTCTAAATCTGAATTAGTAGAATTCTATTAACAAACGGTAAAATTTTACTAATTTGTAAGTAGTAATTTTCATGGACGACTTTTCCCCTTTTTCAATTAGTAGAATATTACCAATTGTTAGTAAAATTTTACTAATGTTTTAGTAGAATTTGACTAATTGAAATTTCCTTATTTAATAATTAATATTAATAATTACTTATTTAGTAATTAGTGAAACTATTTTATCGATTATTACTAAAACAATTCTGGTATTTGTTAGTATAATTATTACTAAATTATTTGGTGGACGACTTTTCGTATTATTTCATTAATAAATTTAAAGAATGCATTAGAGAATTAGGATTGAGAAGAAAAAAAATGGTGTGTGTAAGAATTTTGGGGATAAGCACCTCGTTTGGCGGCAGATCAGAACTTGGAGCGCTCCATCCCTTTGAGGGTCTCCCTTTAAAAGACGACGATCGCGCGATTCGGTCACGGGGTCAATTCCATGCGTGAGGGTTGGAGAGGGAAGGAGAGAGGTCGTCGCACGGGAAGACGGGTTTATATTATCCCGATTTTGGTTTGCACCACACGCCGAATCGCGGGCAACTGAACAGCCCCGATTCTGCTCCGGCAGTTGGCTCTGGCAATGCGCGACCCCCTGCGCAAAACTTCCCCTTATTCACCGCACGACCTGCACCGCGTGCAATTGGACTGGGGTAGGCCCAGTGCTCGTGGTCGCAATGTCGTAGTGCGACAAAGACAAATACACTCCCAGAGAAAAAGAGAAAAAATAACTCATTTATTTGCGGGGTCAATTCTTTTGTCAAATAATATTATGTTCCTTATTGTCGAATGAATACACTTTTTCTTTCTTTTATTCAATACCAAAGGTCAGGAAATATCAGGAAATATTAAATTTCACAGGGAAATCAGTAAAATGATAGGGAATTTTGTCGAAAGTACTGGAGAAATATCAAATTTTTAGAATTACTACATTTTTTGTATTTCCAGGCATCACAGTTGGTCCCCTTTCCCCTTTTGTCCCCTTATTTCAATTTTATCACCTTTTTCCCCTTTTTGGTGATTTGTCCCCTTTTCACCTTTTTCTAATCAAAAATAATGAAAAATAATTAATTAACATTCAAATAATTAAAATATTATTAATAGTTTTTTCTAGAAAAACAAAAATTCTAATATAAAACCTTCAATTTTTTTCCATTTCTGACAATAATTTCTTTTTAAATAACTTAATTCTTGAAGAACTATCATAAAATTATTACTTAGAAATTATTTAATGAATAATTTTACTTAAATATTACAAAATTTATTGAATTTTAAAAGAGTTGCGTTTACAATTATATTCGTAAATAGATGAATTTCGAAAGATTTTAATTTTAAACTTTATAAAATTTCAATTTCATTAAAAATTCTAAAAAAACTTTAATTTTTGCAAAAATTTAAAAAAATTTAAATTATTTAAAATAATGAATTTATCGAGGAATTTATGTCACAAACACTAAAAAAAATTTGAATTTTGGAGAAGTTTCAAATGATTGCAAAAATTCAATTATTTTTAAAAGTAATAAAATTCTTCGCAGAAATTCAAAAATTTTAAAGAAATTCTCGTCAAAATTTCAATTCTCTTTATAAATAATGAAAATTTTTCTTCAAAATCCAATTATTTTCAAAAATTTTAATAAAATTCTTGGCAAAATTTCAATTATTTGCAAAAATTTTCCTAAATTCAATGATTTTCAATATCTATTTTAATAAAATTTTCCAAAAGAATTCAATTATTTCAAAAACATTTTATTAAAATTTTACGCAAACGTTTAGTTATTTTCATAAATAATAAAATAATTTCACAGGAATTCAATTATTATTTTTATAAATAATAAATTTTTTTAAGGAATTTCATTATTTTCATAAAGAATAATTTAAAATTCTAGAAAATAGTAATTGAATTAAAATGATGAAAATAATTTTGATGAAGTTACAGTAACAATATTCTTATAATAATATAAAATAATGATTTTATTACTTGGTCATCTTTAATTATTATAAAACATGAAGAAATCGATCACTCCGAGTCTTCCACTCGGAGCAATCGATATCTTCATATTTTAAAACAATACAAAAAAATAAAAACAATACAATACAATAAAAACAAAACAATACAATTACAATACAATTATAAGTTGTTTAATTTAAAAAAGGTTTCAATTTGAAATTTTTTATTGTCTTAATTCCTGTGGAAAATCCTGTTCCAAAAAGAAGATTACAAAAAAAAGGAATTTTCCAAATATTTTACTTCTTTTTCTAAAACAAAATAATAATTTTGTTAAAAAAATTGTGATTCATAAACAAAAATAATGCAAAATAAATTGCATTATTATTATCTTTTTTATAATTTTTCATTTCAAATATTTTCAATTTTAAAATTAATATATTGGAAATCATCGAATTGTTGCAAAAAATTGTATCAAAAAATTTGATGATAATAGAATTCCTTCAAAGAATTTTATTATTTAGGAAAATAACTGAATTCTCGCAAAGAATTTTATTAAAATTTTTTAAAATCCTAATTAAATTCTTTTGAAGAATTTCTTTCAATTTTTTTTAAACTAATGGAGTTTCTTCAATAATTTTAATTGAAAATTTTTCAAGCATTTGAATTTTATGAAGAAGAATTTTATTAAAAGTGAATCGAAAATAATTGAAATTTATGGAAATATTTAAAAATATTTGAATTCATTCGAGGAATTCAATTAGAATTGTTTTGAAAATCATTGGATTTTTGTAAAGATTTGACTATTGAAAAAAATAATTGAATTGTTTAGAAGGATTTTACTATTTATAGAAATAATAAAAATGTTTCGCGAGAATTTTTAAAAATTTTAAGAAATAATTAAATTGTTATAAAGAATTTTATAGAAATATTTGAAAATAATGAAATTTTTTCGAGAAATTCAATTAAAGTTGTTTCGAAAATAATGGAATTTCTTTAAAGAATTTTATTAAAATTTTGTATATGTAATTATTTAAAAAATTTTATTAAAATTCGTCGAAATAATTTAATTATGTAAAAATTTGTTGATAAAATTCTTTATAAGAATTCAATATTAAGGAACATTCAATTATTTATTTGCATTTTATTTTTATTTAAATAATTTAACTCTCGTATAATTTTTCAATAGAAATTGATTTAAAAGTGAATTTCAGTTAAAATTTTACATAATTGAATATTAAAAGCATTACAACATGCATTTTTAGAAATAATTGAATATTGAAAATGTTTCAAATTGAAATTTTAGAAAATCTGAATTTTAATATTTTTTACTAACTGTATGATCGTATGATTTCGAAGATAAACGAATATTGACGAAGGAAACGACATGTTTCTAGAAACGTTTATTTTGTAATTAAATTCGGTACTCGACACTCGGGTGAATGACTAACATCAATTATTGTATTTAATTTTGTATTATTTATTTGAGTTATTTTCTTCATTTTTCTCAATTTTATTATAAATTATTATTGGAGTGCTTTTATTGAGAACTGTGTATTTTGTTAAAGACCTATTAAATAAAAAGTTTGTTAAGTGTTAAATAATTTGTGTTCATTTTTATTTATTCTCAGCCGCGCAATAAACTATTAATATAAAACTAATTTTGCGTTGAACACTAACAATTCTGTAGAACTAATTTTATTCAAAAAGTTTAATTGAAATTATTCCAAGTTTTTATTTTCTAATATATATTTAATTGAAGAATATCCAAATAGTCGAAATTTTGGAATTTTTGAAAATTGTCCGAATTTTTAAAAAAATTATTATAAATAATAATTGATGTAAAGAAGAATTATAGTTAAAAATTCTAGAAAATAATAATTGTATTGAAATGATGGAAATAATTTTGAAGAAGTTACAGTAAAAATATTTCTTTTAGTACAAAATAATGATCTTATATCACTCGGTCATCTTTAATTATTATAAAACATAAAGAAAGCGATCATTCCGAGTCAAAGACTCGGAGTGATCACGTTCTTCATGTTTTGAAAATCTTAATTCCTATGGAAAAATAATAATGATTAAATATTTTTTTAAAAAAGAAGTTATTGCTGTTTTCGAATAATTTTACAATTATAGAAATTCGTAAATAAATGTAATAGAACATTTTTTTTGAGTATCTAATTATTTTTAGAGTGGATCAGAATATTCTTTAAGATCAGGGAAAAAGTGAAAATTTGGCTAAAAATCAGGGAAAAGTCAGGAAAACACAAAATTAAATTTTTTTGTCAACTCTAATTAAAATCGAATTATTAAAAAAAAATTGTATAGAAGCTATATGATAAAAAATTTGAATTATATATGCAATTTTTATAAACAAATAAATTTTTGTCCCCTTCTTTGTACCCTTTTTGAGGAAAATATTCCCCTATTCACCTTTTTTGAGGAAAAAGGTACTGTGATGCCTGTATTTCGTGTCTAAAAATACCCTCATAGCACGGGATATCCCGCGAATGTCCCATTTCCATCCAGTGATATCCCTAGGATATCTCAGGGAGATCCCATGAGATATCTCGCGGGACGGAAATGGACATCCCAAGGACATCCACTGGATATCTCTGAGAGATCCCTGGGATATCCACGGGATATGCAAAGTTTTCTTTCGTGGGGCATCCCGTGTGGAATATGTCAGCGCATGCGCAGGAAACGAAATGGGGCCGTACACATAATACGTCACGCAATTTTTAACCATTTTTAACCCCTCCCTCCCCCTATGTCACACTTCGTCACAAATCTTGAACCCCCCCTCCCCCTACGTCACGTCACAAACGTAAATTTCACTGTAAATTTTATATATTGGACAATATATATTATATCTTACACTCTAAATTATTGAATCAGTTAAAAATACCTGATTTAGAAGCAAAAAGTCAGTCACTAATTCAAATAATAATATTTTTTTCTTACAATTAGTTGAAAATAACTGATGTTTCAATACAATTGTTTTTGATTGATTCAATTAGTCACGTTTAACTACCTACATAGCACCGAAACTTTCCTAAAGATTTACTCGCAAGCTTCGACATATTTAAATGCAAAGTTTAGTGAAAATTGTGTAAAGATTTAAAAATCCCACTTCAACAAATGTTTAGCGCGAAACTTTCCTGAAAATTTAACTTAAATTTTCAGGAAAATTTTCACGAAAGTATAGTCGAAAATGCAATTCAAATGTTCAGGAAAGTTTCAAGCTGTAACGAACCGAAGTGGTACCGTTAAATTTCTTTTAGAATCCTAGGTTAGAAGAGCGAAAATCATATACAGTTATACTTTTCTTGCAAATATAATTATTATGTCAAAATACATCAAATGGAACGAGTAAGGTTAACAGTAAAATTGACTCATCATAAAATATAAATTCTTAATTAATTGCAAAATTTTAAGAATCAAACATTTTAAAAGGTCAATCACCTATGACGGAAATTGCAAGCAATTCTATAGGGAGATCATTTGTTCCTTGCTAATCCTTCATTTTCACCCTATTGACAAAGTCGTCTCACTCAAGTTGCTGAAATAATGGAATTCTTTCGCCGAGCTCAAATCAAAAGAAATCGAAAACTCATGTTGTGT